AGGGAGTGCTACACCGTCGGAGGGTCAGCGCCGAGGGAGTGGGCTCTGTCGGAGGGTCAGCGCCAAGGGAGTGGGCACTGTCGGAGAGTCAGCGTCGAGGGAGTGGGCACTGTCGGAGGGTCAGTGCTGAGGGAGTGCCACGTTGTCCAAGGGTCAGTGATGTGATTATTCTATTACTCAGTAACTTCACATTCTTTATTTCTTTTAAACTTGGGCCTAAATTTCTCTCAGCTCCAAGTTCTGCCCCTGTGCTGAATCTTTTGTTTATGCTTTAGGTTCTGCTGAAAACCTGTGGGAAGTGTATAGCCCAGTGTTTGTCCCTTCTCTTGAAGTCAGTCAACTCAATCTCATTTGCTCTATTTAATAGTCTTTCCCTCTTTTGTAACTTTATTGTGGAACCTTTAAAATATTCTTTTGATCTTACTGATGTTTTGCAGAGACGAGCTTTAAAGCTTCAGCAGCAGAGACGGAAGGATGAGTTTGAGCGAGAACAGCGGAGAGAGAAGGAACTCGAGCGGGAAAGACAACTCATTGCTAAGCCAGCAAAGCTCTCTTAGCCCAATCATTGTCACAGGTCTTTGCTTGGAGAACAGAACAGGAAGCTTACTGCCTATTTTATCTTGTTCTTCCTTCTGATGGCATGGAAATTCTGACAAATATACATATCTTTTGTTTATATCTGTATTGTGATTAATTCAAAATACAGATCATAAAATTGGAATTCTGCTTCTGAAGCCTGGAGGTTTACAGTGAGATATCATTGCAGCTGCTAACTGACCTTTTAATATAATTTTGTTCTAACCTGCCTTCCTGTCATGTGACATGAAACTGCCTCTTCAGATTATTTGAACATTAGTAAAGTCTTGTGACATCAGAAATGCATCCCTACAGGCTATATATTTTCTTAAATAGTGTGACCCCTGACGTGACTGTTATTGAACAGAGGACTGTTTGATTGGAAATCTTCCCTCACTTTCTGAGCCAATGTGAGGCTGCTTTTCTCATTGGAACTTGAAATGGAAGCTTGGGCAAATCTGCTGTTTGCGTGTGGACTGAAAGTTGTTAATCTGTGGATGAGCTTGTTTGCAGGAACTGCTGTGCAAGATGACCCTGTTTAAAATTTTAAAACAGTTTAGCAATCTGTTAAAGTGTTTTTCTTTGAAAGTTTCTCCATTGTTAACGTCAATTGTATCTGGATTGTTTGCTGGGAGATTCAATGAATACACATTCAGCACACTGGTAGATGTTTGTTGGTATCGGAATTATTGAAATGGTATGAGTTATGTTATGAACTTTGGAGGTTGGGTGAGGGCTATATTATCAACTAATTAGAGAAATTGTTTCAAATTGAGGTATGTACTCTGTCACAGCTTCTGCAAACTAATAAAATTGCAACAGATCACTACATTTCTGTGTTTTGCTTTTAGTTACAGTCCATAGTTATTTTGTTGCAAGTTATCATTTATCCAGCTTTGCATTCAATAAAATAGCTTTACTGTGTTGTTTCAAACATTTCTATTGAAGTTATATATTTTCTCCACCAATTGTCTCGTAGGAAGCTTTCAAATTCCTCTTGAGATCCTATTTCACAAGTTGTTCTCACCCCAAGCAATGGTCACTCTGTCCCTGGTCACCTCTGACACCTTTCCCAAGTGTCCACCATTTCACAACTGAGTTGTGACTATGAACATTAACAAAATACTCAACAACTGGGTTTTCCTCCTTTTTACAATGATACTGGAAGAAATTTCCTGTGTAGATGTTTAATGTACAGTTGTATTCCTTTGGGAATTTGTTAGTGCATACAGTTTGATTGATCTCTGGCCATCATATTGACTGCTGCCACTTTAGACTTCATATTGAGCACAGATGCTGACAGTGGGAGTTCAGCCAACCGGCACTTGCTTCACTCAATGGTGGAAGGGTCAATGACTGCTCATGCCTCACCTGTGATCAGCGAACTCGGAGTAGAATTCAAAGAAAGCCTTCGTGTTCTTTATGGTTCGACACCATGTAACCTGCTAAAAGTCAAGCTTTTTTTTATTGTTTCTTCTCAGGATGTGGGTGTCCCTGGCTGGGCCAGCATTTGTTGCCCATCCCTAATTGCCCTAGAGAAGGTGGCACCAAATTGTCTTCCTGAACCGCTGCAGTCTTTGAGTGCTTGGAATACCCACGATGTTGTTAGGGCGGGAGTTTTAAGATTTTGAGCCAGTTGACAGTGAAGGAATATATTTCCAAATTGGGACACTGAGTGGCTTAGAGAAGAACTTTGAATCAATGCGTTAGATGGTGCATCTAGTTGCTCAGTGAGCCTCAGAATTTTGAATTATACTAAAATTCACTGGAGATGGTTTCAGAATACAATATTACAAAGTAAAAATGGGTACAAAGATGTTCAAGATCTGGAGCTGAATAAAATTGAATATGTATCTATTGCTTCTTCAAAGATAAAAGTTAAAGTTTCAATTTGTTTAACCAGTATTCATATATAGATGCAGCAGAATATGTTTAAACATCTACAGTCAGGGTAACATTTCCATTTTTAATGTGATATACAACCATGCCACAAACAGAATACCAAACAAAACAAGCTCACAGGATAAGTGTTAAACATGTTTAAAAATGTTCAATTTGAAGAACATTCCTGAGCAACTATTAAGAGTTTTTTTTCCTAAAGTTCTGTAATTTGGACCTTGAACAGATTTGTGGGAGATCTGTATTCAGGCTGAGGGATCAACTATTGTTTGTAAAAGATTGAGAAGAATCAGCAGTGTTGTACTTAAATCACAATATCCAACAATGTGTCATCTTTTAAACCAGGTGAATGTTTTACATTTTGGTTACACATATGTCTGGGCTGCAGTGCTAACTACCAACTGTCATTTATACATTTGCCTAGCTTAAAATCAGGAGATTATGAAGTGAGAGTTGATAAAAAGCAGTCCTGGTGCTCATTGCTGCAATTTCCTTTAAGATTTTTGTTACTCTGCATCCTACATCGTATCTAACAGTTTTATTTTAGAAAAGATCCGTAACATTCAGTGTTTAGACAGGTGAACTTCGGGTAAGAGTTCCTTAGCAATAGGCAACTGAAACCCTCCCTCAGTTTCTGGGATGGGTTTGGAGAGGTGGGGTCACTGCGAGGAATTCTTTGAACATGTATTTAATTGGAGTCACTGGCAGAGCCAGTATTTGTTGCCCATCCTAATTACCCTTGAACTGAGTAGCTTGTTAAACCATTTCAGAGGGCAGTCAGCCATATTGCTGTGAATCTGGAGTCACATGTAGACCAGGAGATTTCCTGTAAAGACACAAGCAGATTTTGTATTTTTGAATGATAGTTCCTCACAAAAACTCACTTTCAATTCCACATTTATGAATTGAATTTAAATTCCACCTGATGGGATTTGAACTCACCTCCAGAGAATTAGCCTGAGTCTCAGACTAATGGAAGAGTGACATTTACCAATATGCCCCCACCTTCCTGTTAGTAACACTGTTAGCATCAGTGTGACCACCTCGCAATTTCTTTCAGGTCAAAGGTCAGCCCTGGGGATTCCAGCTCTGTGTGCTTATCATATTCATAAGATACATTTGTTGGCCAAGCATCAGGATTAGTTATTATTTTACCCCCACAATCAGGGATGTTTAGACTGACTTTCAATTCCAATGATGTCTTTTACTTACTTCTTGAGCATTGACCTTAAGTCCTATCTTGTACTGTCACAGAGTTATACAGCACAGAAACAGATCCTTTGGTCCAACCAGTCTATGCCAAACATAATCCCAAATTAGTCCCACCTGCCTGCTCCTGGCCCATATTCCTCCAAACCTTTCCTATTCACATATTTATCCAAATGTCTTTTAAACTTTGTAATTGTACCCACATTCATCACTTCCTCAAGAAGTTCATTCCGCACGTAGACCACACTGTGTAAAAAAATTTCCCTCACATGTCTGTCCAGAGATGTTGGACAGACAGGACAAAGAGGGACACCAATTCGACTGGGATAACATTGCCATCCTAGGACAAGCCAACTAAAGACACGCACGAGAATTCCTGGAGACCAGAACTCCATTTACAAACGTAGAGCTGGACCCCATATACCAGCCACTAAGAAACAAATCGGAAAGTGATGCCAGGCACTCCAGCAAACCGAGGCACATAAATAGCAAAACAGGACAGAACGCCGACTCTTCACCAGAGGCACACTGATGATGTTATCTAGTATGGTGATGAAATGTCTGCGAACAATCTAACCAGTAAGTCAACAACCGTTCCACATGTGTCTTTAAATTAATCAAATGTTTTCCTTGGTGTGAGACTGGCTCTACCGTTTCATCCTGTCTCCATAAGGGGGCCACCTGTCACACACACAATTCTGTCTCTTTGTACAGTTCTGGGTTTTTATTTTTAAAATGTAGACAACATTCCATGAGAATTCTCGCCAATGACGGTGCAGAACATTATCGAGCGACTATTTGTTTACAACGAAATTCCTAAAGCAAGAGGAGTTAACCTCACGGTCCCAGTGTAACTCTGTAAACTACCCAGAGACACAGGGATCCACAAGCTGCTGCTCTTTAAGATGAAGCTTGTTGTTATTTATTGAGATTACACATACTCGACCCCTACCTTCACACATTAACCTGAGGACCCACAACCTCCACATCGCGCTTCTTCCCGTGTTCATTGAGACCCCACACCGACTATTCGGCCTCACCTACTCGCCCTCCGGCCCCGCCCCCTGACCCATCGGCCCCTCCCCTCCGACACCGTCTCGATCCCCGACCCTGTAGCCCCACCCTCCTGACCATCCAGCTCCACCCCCAGCCCGACATTTCCAGCCCGCCCCCCGACTACATAGCCCCACCCCCGACCCTCTAGAGATAGTAGGAACTGCAGATGCTGGAGAATCCGAGACAACAAGGTGCAGGGCTGGATGAACACAGCAGGCCAAGCAGCATCATAGGAGCAGAGAGGCTGACGTTTCGGGCCTAGACCCTTCATCAGAAAAGGGGGAGGGGAAGGGGGTTCCGAAGTAAATAGGGAGGGAGGGGGAGGGGGAGGGGGATAGAAGAGAGGAAACAAACAGGTCGAAGAGGCGGGGATGGAGCCAGTAAAGGTGAGTGTAGGTGGGGAGTTAGGGAGGGGATAGGTCAGTCCAGGGAGGACGGACAGGTCAAGGGGGCGGGATGAGGTTAGTCGGTAGGAGATGGAGGTGCGGCTTGAGGTGGGAGGAGGGGATAGG